ACGCTGAGAGAACCCCTGAGCAACAAGACGAGCTTTATAACGATCCAAGGAACCATCAGACTTTTCTTTGACCCGAAACACCCATTTCGAACCAACCACATTGACATCAGGGGGTTTAGGAACAAGGGTCCAAGTATTGTTGCGAGACAAGACAGCAATCTCATCATTCATTGCTTGCTGCCATTCATCAAACTAACAAGCCTAGCGATATGGGGTAGGAACCTGCAAAGGAGTGTCAGCAATAGTACTAGCTAAATTGAAAATCACCTTGGGTTCACGAGTACCATCCTGAGCACGAGTAACCATAGTATGATGGGAAGAGACATGGGAGGAACCTAAGGGAGTGGAAGAAGGTGGAGAGGACTGAGAAGACTCCGAGCGTGGAGAAGGAACGACTGAGGAGAGAGGAGTCGGAAAAGAACTAACCCAAGGGGAAGGACTAATGGAAGGACTAACCGAGGGAGAGAAAATAGTAGGTGGGGAAAGGGCAGGTGGAACAAGCGAGGAAGGTGCACAAAAAGGAGAGGAAGATGAGGAACGAGACAAAGGAAGGGAAGTAAAAGGGGAAACATTCTCATCAAAAACAACATGACGAGAAATAATGACCTTATTGGAAGAAAGATCAAGACAACGATAGCCTTTGTGATGTGAGAGATAACCCAAAAAAACACACAAAGTAGAACGGGGTGCTAACTTATGGCGGGTGGTATGAGAAAGATTGGGGTAGTAAGAACACCCACAGGTGCGCAAGTGAACATATGATGGAGGTTTATTGTGGAGGACCTCATAAGGAGTTATTTTGTGTAACAAAGGAGTGGGAAGACGATTGAGAAGATAGTGGATAGTATGAAGGGCTTCAACCCAAAAATCAGAAGACATAAAAGCCTGGAATAAGAGAGTGCGAATCATATTGACAATGGTATGATTAAAACGTTCGACTTTACCATTTTGTTGAGAACAAGCAGTAGTAGACAAGCGGAGATGAATGCTATTAGTTTGGAAGAACTGCAAAAAAGTATTATTTTTATTTTCACCTCCTTTAGCAAATTGAAAATTGCGAATGACAGTATTATATTGATTTTGAACATGAGCATAAAGGTGACGGAAACAAGAGAAAACACCCGATTTAGAACAAAGAGGGAACACCCAACAATAATGTGTATAATCATCCAAAAAAGTAACAAAATATTTATAACCACTAGGAAAAACAACTGGAGAAAACCACATATCTAAATGAATAAGTTCAAAGGGCGAAGTGGCCCGAGATAAAGATGACTCAAAGGGTAAACGCACATGTTTCCCTAATTGACAAGCATGAAACAAATCTAACGTGGAATTTGAACAAGAAATAAGTGAAGCATTTATTAAGTTGGGCAAAACACATTGGCTAGGGCGACCTAATCGACGATGCCAAATTTGAGAAGTGGACCGATGAGCAGCAAGGGCAAGAACCAAGGCGGAGGAAGTGGAATCAACGAAAGGATAAAGAGGTCCAGAACTATTGCACCGAAGAAGTTGTGTCTTTGTCATAAGGTCCTTAATAAGAAAAACCAACAGGGTCAAACTCCATAGAACAATTATTATCAGTAGTAAAACAACGAACATAAATTAAATTTTCAGGAACATAAAGAACATTAGAAAGGCATAAAGAACGACTAGAAGTAGAGATATTTGAAGTACCAAAGGATTCAATAGGAAGCAAAGCACCATTGCCAATACACACTTTATCGAAACCATTATATGGGCATAAATTGGTAAGCTTACCGGAGTCATTGGTCATAGTTTCTCCTGCAGCAAAGTCAAAGTGCCATGGAGGAGAGGGTTGAGATAAAGTCGGATAAGCAGTAAAGGCCGGAGTGGGTGCGCCCATGATAACAGAAGGGCATAGTCAAGCAATATGCCCATAACCACGGCAGTTGTAGCATTAAACAGAATGATGAAACTGAGGAAGCCCATGCGTCAGAGGGAGAGGAGAGGGAGGCGCACCGAGAAGTGAAAGAGCAGAAGAAGAAGGGCGAAAAACAGGTTGCTTCCAGCTCTGCGACAGCCTCCTCTGCAACGACCACCACCACCATGTCGTCCACCAAAATTCTAAAAAGTAGGCTGAAAAGCAGCAACAACATAGGCAGGAAGAGTGGAAGGAGACGGAGCAGCAGGCGACGAAACCGGTTGAGCAACAAGAACATAAGGAGGAACTGAACCTGCCGCTGCTCTCTGATGTTGTTTCGCGAGTTTTGCTTCTTCGAGAATGAGCGAAGATTGGCACTCATCAAAAGTCGGTAGTGGCTTTTGAGAAGAAATGTGGCTAGTGGCTGCATTATACTCAGGACCCAAACCCATAACTATTTGCATAATAATATCACGATAGGTTACAGAATCACCGATAGAAACCAAACAATCATACAATTCTTTCAGGCGATTTAGATAAGCAGACATAGAAAGATGACCCTTTTCACAGTGGTAAAACTCCTGACAAAGATGAACAATTCTAGACTCAACATGATCACGAAAAATCTTTTCAATCTTTTCTCAAGCAGAGTGAGCAGAAAGAGATGTACCCGGAGTAATAATATTATGTAGAATCTCACGAGAGAGAGTTGCTTGAATCCAAGAGAGGGCAAGAGAATCAATTTGAACCTATTGATCATAATCGGGATCACCGAGAGGAGGACAAGGAGTTGAACCATCGACAAAAGTCAAAAACTTGATGACCTTTCAACACCGGAATGAAAAGTTTGCGCCAAATCAGATAATTGGAGAAATCAAGAACGTCATACACATGGTTCTTGATGTTATTGAGCGAGAAACTGGGATGACGAGAACAAGAGAGGGAATCGGGGAGGGCAACAGAAACACGGGAAGACGTGGTAGTCTTCGGATCGTTTGTCACATCATCGCCGTTCGCCATGAGAAGAAGAGAAAGACGGGTGAAAAAACAAAATTAGGGTCTAGAAGTGACAGCCGACTCTATACCATGAAGTAGTGTACAACCCGTTAGTCATTCTGTATTGAGTTAACATATATATAGTGTACATAATTATAACAAAATTATAACAATGCCCCTACACTAACCCTAGTATATACATACACTAACACGAAATAGTCCGTACACTCCTTCAAAAGGCTTCAAAAATAAAGCTAAAAGCCTTACTCAGCGAAGAACTTTCAAAATTTCAGGTATATGTTATGTCCAATTGTGTTGTTTTAGGTGAGAAGAAATGGTATTAAATAAAAATAGTTGAAACCTTCCCTGCATGCAATTGTAGCAGTTAAACCTGTAAATTAAAATATTACTATTTGCTATGAGGAATTTCTTAATCCAATGATCTGCGTAACTCTAATAAAAATATTTGATTGACTGAGTTAAAAAGCCCAATCACGTAAGGGTCAAAATGACCTATTCCACGTTGCTGTTTTTTTTTTCTTTTATGTTTTGTTTTGTGTTTTTTTTTTTTGTTTTGTTTTTGTTTTGTTTTGTTTTTTTTTTTTTCAGTTTCAAGTTACCGTTTAAAACGCCATCTCGCGCGATCGTTTTAATTTTAACATCCCTTTAGTAGTACATTAAAGTATACGAATACATATTAATACATAATCTAAGCCATATATTTTCATTGTCGAAACAAATGGCCTAATATGAGTGCGGATTGAACCCTGATTGATGGAGTGTGTAAGAAAACATCTCAACTCTGTGTTATGCAATCTTAGCCATAAAACCTTGTCGCATTTTCAATGTGCTCTATATTCACGTTTAACGTATCGAATTATTGCACAAATGCAGCTGGTTAAGACAGATATGCCAGACTAGTGTTTGATGTACAATTCAGGATTGGCAGGGTCGATATGGATATGTTGGTCCTCAAATATGAAGATATTTCGATTCAGAATACTTTTTTGTACAGTGAAATATAAGAAACAAAAAGAAATTTTCTTCATATCTTAAAAGAGAAGACAATTAATATTTAAGTGCCATAAACGCTACCATCAAATCGTTTCTTTTCATGAAATCTTGACAATCATGATCCGACAATATTGTAGTACATATATTATAGTTTGAGACTAAATTCTATAATTTTTCCAAATTTTGAAACTAAAACATGGCCCTATGAGTGTATCTACCAACATATATTACAAACAAAATTAATTCTCAAGAAAAACCAAAAACTCAATACCCAAATTAGGTTCTGAGCAAACCTATTGTTACTTATCGCTTACATTCCCTTTACTACATCATGATCAGTTGTTTGTGGTTCATAAACCAAAACCTTCTCAGGGGAGCTTAATCATAATTTCTAGTTTGTAGCACCCAAATTATTCATTTTTCTCCGCAAGGATCTAACTATATATATAAGTATCACTCCCTGGCCCGTAATGTCTATTGTATCTCTCGGGCCCAAGTAGTAATATGAACTTTTTAAAATAACTCCAGAAGTAGTTAATCAAACACTCTGCATATTCGTTTCAACGTTTTCACCTCTTCCCAAAGAAACCAAAAGTTTCCATGCACATTTTCTAGTTTTTCCCCTTCCAGTTAGGATTTTATCTGAAACGTAAATCCTCTACCGTTTGCGTCAATTCAGGCCCGATTAGAGATTGGTCGGGCCTGATGAATGAGATGCGTTGGAAGAGATAGTAATGAGTTCTGCTTCTGGCTGAGCAAAGATATGTTTGTCAAATGGTCTATTAAGACTTCATATGGACTGGAATTGAGTACAGCTCTAGCCGTTCTTCATCTTGGGATGTTAATTTGTACGACGGGGAGTTTTATATCGTCAATACGACGGGCCAAGTGTTTGTGTGGGTTGAATTATCTTCATCCGATCCGAACGTTGCCCATGTTCTCTTAACATCATCAAGTCTTCTACCTCCTCCTCAAAGAGGCAAATGCATGTCTAGTGGAATCATCTAGCGGTGAGTTACTAGTTGTTCAGTTGTACCGTCTTAGTTTTTACATGGATGCGAGGTATGGAAGTTTTTAATTAAAAAAAAATAAAGATCAACATCATCCTTGAAAATTATAACATAATCAGCTTATTATCGTGTTATAATTATTTCGACTACGATATTGTCGCCTAGAAGCTAGACAAATGCATTTTTGGGATAGACTACTAGTTCCCAATTATTTCAACCCACAATTTGAAAAATAAAAAATAAAAAATAATACGGCCATCGATACATTTTTAATTTCTTTTTTTGATAATTCTTAGAACTTGGCCTGAATTTGATCCACAATCTTCTTATCAACCTGGAATGCCTTTGCCAACACATCATCGCTGATGGGCGGATTTGATCCGAAAACAGAAGCTGCAATTGGGACCACACCTGGGGCTTGACTGCTCAATGCAGCCAAAGCGACGGCGTTTCCGTACCCAATGTTGCGCTGGAAATGGATGAGCCCAATCGGGAAGATGAAAACATCTCCTTTGTACAGCACTTTCCTGAACAGCTTCAAATCCGGCGCGGAGGTGACGAAACCAACCTCTAGAGTTCCTTCAATAACCGTTAGGATTTCGGTGGCTCTGGGGTGAATGTGAGGTGGGTTTAGTCCCCATGGAGCATAGTCGATCCGGGCCATGGAAATGCCGAAGGTGTTGAGTCCTGGAAATTGGGCCACGAACACCTGGGTCACATTGGAGCCCTGTGGGTTGGTGGTGTTTCCGGCCTTGTCTAAGCCGTGGAAGACGAAATCGTCGGCTGTGATATCTTTGGGATTCTTGCATGTGAACCCATTGACGTTGACTTGGCTAGCTTTATCGGCCACGCAGAAATCTTGAAGGGCTTTGGGATCGGAGGCATAAGAAATGGAAGAGAATGAAAGGGCAACAACTGAAACACATAGAAGAAGTAGCGTTGAATAATTAGCCATTGATTTGAGGGGAAATTGTTCGGAAATGGTGAAGGAAAAGCTCGAGCTTTGGCAATTGAGTAATATTTGGAATTTGGATGATGAAATGAGAAGAGGATGTAGTTTCAGTATATATAGAGAACGGGAAGGACCTTTTCACGTTCATGAATGAGTCGTATGTGGTTAAAAAAAAAAAGAATTCGTATTCCCAGAAACACGTTTTTAACTTTTTGAAGAAATCTGCATATCTGCACCAATTCGCATTATGGATGATGCAGGCAGACTTGTTTAGTTTCGATTACATCATTTCCCTATATGTTAATGCAGAGAAATAAAAGTACTCTTTCAAAGAATGTTATTTTAATCATCAAGAAATCTTCCAAGTGCTTCTTGCTTTTTATAATTTGAAGATGCATCAAAACAAAAGATATCAAGAGGGAAATCTTTAAAACAAGCTCAACACGCACACACATATGGTGTTATCTAGTACAGTCCATACTAAATACTCCATCTGTCCTAAAATTATTGTCTAGTTTGAAATTTCACTTTTAGTACAATTTGAACTAGAAATGAAAACCCAAACTGGACAATAATTATGGGACGGAGGGAGTATTAATTTTCACCCAATTAATACATACAGAGTTTTTGCTCCATTTATTCTCTTTTTTTGTTATTAGTTGTATTTTTTTTTCCTTTTGTCTTTTTTGTCCTCCCTCTTAAGCAAGGTTTGTGTCATTTTTTTTTTTTTAAAAACAAGGTTAATGATTTTAAATATGAGGTCATTTAAGAACAAATCCTGTTTAGAGTGAGATAGGATATGAGTGTGTAACGCGATCATTTTATACTCTCTTTTGGAAATGCCTTAAACCATGAATTTTTCTATAGAGAATTTTATAATTTTACATTTTAAATAATTGTCGGGTTCGGATATTCACATTGAGTACAAATTGAGAGGGAGTGAGGGAGAATCACATAGTTACAAGTTAAAGAATATATATGTCAGGAGGTAGCTATAACAGGGCCAAGTAGCAGGGGAGTAGGTGTTAAATACAGGAACTAATTCAAATCTCTTTCATTTATTTATTTATATTTCTTTGAATACATTAACAAGACGAGGGCAGTTGAAAGTTGAAACATTCTTCGGTATAGTCGCTAGCTTTACTTGGAGGAAATCATCATATATATGAAGCAGTAATTTTTTTCTTTTTTTTTTTTTGAACAAAGAGAGATTGTATCAACGCCGGCGTCGACTATTTCATCCGTACAATATTAATTACGCGGCTTAAATGAACTTTGAAGTGCCAATTATCCTCTCATTTCAACTTCTATATATACGCATAGACTTCTTAACTTTTCATCACATCCCTCATCCAAAACTTCATTCTTTTATTATAAAACCCGCTCTCTGATTTTAATTAATCTTCAACTGTCTTTCGAATCCGACCATCTCCCCAATCCCCAAGTTTAATTAGTTCATCCTAAATTCCTAATGGCAAAGTCTTTAGTTCTCGTTTTATGCCTCGTAACGCTTGCATTTGCTTCAACTGTGGTTGCAGATGATCCTAAAGCCCTTCAAGATTTCTGCGTAGCTGATAAAGCTAGCGCAGTCAACGTCAATGGCTTCACATGCAAGAATCCCAAAGATATCACGGCCGACGATTTTGTCTTCCACGGCTTAGACAAGGCCGGAAACACCACCAATCCACAAGGCTCCAATGTGACCCAGGTGTTTGTGGCCCAATTCCCGGGACTCAACACCTTCGGCATTTCCATGGCCCGGATCGACTATGCTCCATGGGGACTAAACCCGCCTCACATTCACCCCAGAGCCACCGAGATCCTGGTCGTTCTGGAAGGAACTCTTGAAGTTGGTTTCGTGACGTCGGCACCGGATTTGAAGCTGTTCAGAAAAGTACTATACAAAGGAGATGTTTTCATCTTTCCGATTGGGCTCATCCATTTCCAGCGCAACATTGGGTATGGGAACGCTGTCGCTTTGGCTTCATTGAGCAGTCAAGCCCCAGGTGTGGTTCCAATCGCAGCTTCTGTTTTCGGATCAAATCCGCCCATCAGTGATGATGTGCTGGCCAAGGCATTCCAAGTTGATAAGAAAATTGTGGATCAAATTCAGGCCAAGTTCTAAAACATTAATTAGAACAAGAAGTTAAACAGCAACAATTGACCGTGTCGGTTTTTATTAAATATATTGTGAGTCGAAATAATTAATTGGGAAGCCATTTTATACTCTATCCAATAAATATCTCAGTCTAGCTTCTAGGCGGCAATATCTTTCCCTGTACTAAAAATGTTGGTAGTCAAAGTAATTATAACATGATTATTAGTTCATTATTTTATAATTTTTGTGGATCTTTGGAAACCCAACCCAAATTAATTATTTATATCGCGTAAATCTTCTGAGCACGCAAGGAAGTATGCCCCAAGTTGGAGTGACATGAAACTATATATGCACCCAAGATATTATGGAATCGAATAGCCTAAATCGTATGAAGTCAACAGCCAATGTATCGTAAAAATTCAAAATGGTACTTGGCAGATTGGAGGAGTACATGGAGAGGGAACAGTATTGAAAGTTGAAACTGTCTTTTCCATTTCCCAAAATAAATAAATGGAGCAGTACTCTCGTTTCATTTTGGAATGGGGAGCTTAAATATAATGCACAAAATAATCACACTACAACCAAAGAAAAAAAGGTATTATGCTCGTGTCGATTGCTAACTTCTTCGGAGTTGATTTTTAAAGAAGTTCATGTTGATTACTACTTGGGCCGAGAGCTACAATAAACATTACGGGGCGGGGAGTGATAGTTATATATAGTTAGATCCCTGGGGAGAAAAATGGAGAATTTGGATGCCAACAAACTAGAAATTATGATTACGTTCTCCCTGATAATTTTTTTCGGTTATGAACCACAAACAACTGACCATGATATAGTACTAAAGGGAATGTAAGCGATAAGTAACAATAGGATTGCAACTTAATTTGGGCATTGGAAGATTGAGTTATTTTCTTAAATTTCACTGTTCTTGAAAAATTAATTTTGTTTGTAATATATGTCGTAGATACCCTCAAACGGAAATCCATGTTTTACTCCCAAAGTTCGGAAACATTATAGAATTTAGTCCCAAACTATAGTAAGTACTACAATATTGTAGGATCATAATGGTCAAGATTTGATGGTAGTGTTTCTTGCACTTCCGAATAAATTGTTTTGTCTTTCTCGTTGGGTAAGAAGATATAAGAAAGAATTTCATTTTTGTTGATGATATTTCACTATGCAAGAAAGTATTGGAATCGAAATATCTTAACATTTGATTAAAGACTTTTCTTGACTTCTCTCTTGAACTAGGGGCGATCACACTTTTTACTGTCTGTGTGGCTGTCCGACGATTTCTCCGACGCTCAGGCGTCAGCTATGACTAAGAAATCGAAGAAGAAGAGTGGAGCTGAGGAAAGTAAAGCTGGAGATCAACTTGAAATGGAGAAACGTGGAGAACAATCCTCAATTTTGTTGAAATCGAACAAGGTCAGTAGCCTAATTTTACAATACATATATCTTATTCGCAATTAATGCATACTAAAATTGGGAATCAGAGAGTTGCGGCGGTGGGAGAGTGTTCAAAGGTGAATGAAACAAAGTTTCGAGGGCTAGAAACGGGGGAAACTGTCAAAGAATTGAACGTATAGGATTCATTTGATCCGAAGAAATTAAGAAGTCCATAAAAGAAATTGCAGTTTATAGAACCTTGCATAGTGAATGAAAGAGAAATCGGGAAAATTACGGAAAAGGAAGTTCAAAGTGAGATTGAATACTGCCAAAGTTCTGTGATCTGTTATGTTCTTGGATCAAATCCTCCATTTTCAATAATGAATGGCTTTATTCGAAGAACGTGGGGAAAGCTGGGTGTGGATAAGCTTTATTGCAAGAAAATGGAATGTTTAATGTCGGATTCAAGACTTTAATGGCTACAGAGGAAATTTTAAAGCAGAATGTGTACCATTTTGACGGGAAACCACTTATTGTGAGAGATTGGTCTGTCAAAGAGAAAATAGAGGTGAATGAGATTTGGAAAGTACTAGTGTGGATTCAATTCCATAGATTGCCATTGAGATAAAGAATCCTACAACTCTGAGTAAGCTTGCAAGTATTGTTGGTAATCCAATTGAAATGGATGACATGAGAATCAGAATGAGTGGAAGTTGAAATTTAGGATAAATTGAAAGAATCTGTGTGGTATGAGAATGAGAAAGGTGAACTACAGGAGCAAAAGATCCATTATGAATGGAAACCTGTTAAGTGTTCCAATTGTAAAGGCTTTGGACATCAAGCAGAAATTTGCAGACAACCTGTGGTGAAAACATGGAAGAGTAAAGAAGTGCCTAAAGTAGTTCATAATGAAAAGGATGTGGCAGGAAAACAGGAAGAGACAGTGACTCATAAAGACAAGGTGGCACAGGCAAATGTGAATACCAAAACTCCCGTTAAAGATCAATCTATCAGGATCATGAGAATGCCAGGAAGTAAAGATGAAGAAGATGGAATACTAATAAGAAATCAGAAGGGAGTGAGGATCACTGAGGAAAGGCCATGTGATAAAAAGAGTTCTGTGAATGAGATTTGTTATCATGATACTAGTCACCCTTCTAAAGGATCTAGTAGACATGAATAACCTCTTAGCATGGAATATTATGGGACTTAACAGTCCCCTGAAACATAGGGAGATTGATACATTTCTCTCTATGAATAAGGTGGGAATAGCAGGGCTGCTGGAAACAAAACCGAATAAAGAAAAGGTGGAGGAGCTTATGGGTAGAAAATGGTATCAATTCGAATACATCAGTAACCTGGAATCAGGGGAAAAATGGAGAATTTTAATGATGTGGAGGAAAGGGGAATATCAAGGGAATGCTCTACAAGTCCAGTCTCATTTTATGCATTACCATGTGAAAGAGTATGCCAGAAATAGTCAGTTTTATCTAACATTGGTGTATGCAGAATGCAATGCAACAAGGAGGGGAAATTTATGGAAAGAACTGCAAGCATTATCAAGCTCAACCAAACGAAAATGGATTGTGATGGGAGATTTTAACTGCATAAGACAACCAGAAGAAAGGTTGGGAGGTGTCAATGAGCTGAGTCCTGATATAGATCAGTTTAATCAAATGATAGAGGTTAATGAGTTGTGGGAAATGTAGATGAATGGAGGAAGATACACATGGTGTAATAAACAGATGGGAAATCAGAGAATCATGTCAAAAATAGATAGAGTATTAGTGAATGATGACTGGATGCAAGAATACTCAGAAGTTTTTGTGAACATTATGCCACCAGGAATTTCAGATCACAATGCCTTATTGATCAAATCGGATGGAATGGTGCTCGTAAGGAAAAGAGCATTCAAATTTTATAATATGTGGATGCAACATCCTGAGTTTAAACAGATTGTCCAAGAACATTGGAATATGGAAGTGAAAGGGAGTAAACGGTACAGATTTGTGATGAGGCAAAAAATGATGAAATACTGGCTAGGAAGTTGAATAGAGAAGAGTATGCTAATATAGAAGATCAAGCACAAGAATCTAGACTGAAGTTGGACCAAATTCAGGAAGCCTTGAAGGAGGATCCATTCAATGAAATACTTCAAGTAGAAGAGAAGCAAATGATTAAAGACTATGTTGATAAAAGCAAAGCAGTTATTAGGTTTTGGAAACAGAAACTGAAAGATAAGTGGATATGTGAAGGAGACTAAATTACAAGGTACTTCCATGCTGCAATAAAACAAGAAAGTGTAAGGAACAAGATAAGATCATACATCAGAAGTGATGGGGGAAGAGAAGAAGAATGGCCAAAAGGTGGAAGATCATTTCCTAAGTTACTTTCAAAATCTACTTGGAGTATCAGGGGAAAGAACAGTAGCTAGGAATGAACTCTATCAGTCAGGAACAAAACTGACTTTAGAGCAGCAAGTTTTGATGACTGCTGAATTCACTAAGGCAAATGTAAAGGATGCTCTCTTCAGCATAGATATGAACAAAAGTGCTGGTCCAGATGGGTTTAGCAGTGGATTTTATAGGAAAACATGGGATATCATTGGAGATGATTTATGTGAGGCAGTGCTGGAATTTTTCAGAACTGGTGAAATGTTGAAACATGTAAATACTAATTTTATTTCACTAATTCCAAAGAATGAAAGCCCAAAAGATGCAACTGAGTACATGCCCATATCATGTTTCATTACCATTTATAAGTGTATCTCTAAGATGATCTGTAAAAGGCTGAGCTTAATTCTTCTTGATTTGATTGATCTTAACCAAGGAGCATTTGTGCAAAATAGATCAATATTGCATAATATTCTGTTAGCTTAGGAGCTTATCAGAATGTATAATAGACAGAATACAAAACCAAGTTGCCTGCTTGAAGTTGATCTGAGAAAGGCTTATGATTCCATCCATTGGGAATTCATAGAGGAAATGTTGAAGAACTATGGCTTTCCTAATAAATGCATACAATGGATTATGGCATGTATCAGCACATGTTCTTATTCTCTGAACGCGAATGGGAGCAGTGTTGGTTTTTTCCAAGGGAAGAGGGGACTTAGATAGGGTGATCCAATATCACCTCTTATCTTTGTAGTGGTTATGGAATATTTGACAAAGCTCTTCAAGAAAGCAGCTGAGAGAACAGAATATGTGTTTCATCCTCACTGTAACAAATTGAGGATCATATCACTGCGCTTTGCAGATGATCTGCTTGTATTTTGTGGTGCAGACCAGAGAACTTTGATTATAGTGAAAGAGATCCTGGATCACTTTGCAGAAAGTTCTGGACTGACAGTGAATTTGAACAAATCCAATGTACTTTGGTGGTATTGGAAGTAATTAGCAGGAGTAGTTGCACGCAATTATTGGCTTTGAAAGAGGATCATTTCTGATGAAGTACCTTGGCTTACCTCTTTCTCCCATAGCATGGAACAAGGGAGACTGTCAACTTCTGATAGAAAAGTTAACAGGAAGGAAGAAGTGCTGGTCATCAAGATACCTATCTTATGCTGGTAGAGTGGTACTCATTAATTCTGTGTTAATGACCTTGCATACATACTGGGCAAGTATCTTCTTATTGCCTCAGTCTGTCATTCAACAGATCATTGCAACATGTAGGCAGTTTTTATGGGGATTGAAAGATAGTGGGAAATGCTGGCCTCTTGTATCTTGGGACCTTCTATGCAGGAAAAAGATGGCAGGAGGATTAAATATTAATGATCCAGGAAATTGGAATCAAGCAATGATGGGGAAGAAATTATGGGACTTGGAAATGAAGAAGGAAAGCTTGTGGATCAAATGGATGCATACATATTATCTCAAAGGGAAGAGTGTTTGGGAGTCTAACTGTCTAAAAGATAGTAGTTGGCACTGAAAAAAGCTGCTTCAACTTAGAGATCAACTTAAACTAGGCTTACAGAATGGAAAGTGGATGGGAGGTCGTAAACCATACACAACAACAACAGGATATGAATGGTTCAGAGGACAGAAGGAGAAAAAAAACTGGCAAAGATAGTATGGAGTAAGTTCTTATTGCCAGAACACTGCTTTGTTAGTTGGTTAGCCTGGAAAAGAAGATTGTTGATAGACTTAAAGAGATGAATGTAGCTGTTATGGATGAATCATGCATCCTGTGCAGACAACATGAAGAAACTGCTAGCCATCTTTTCTTCAGGTGCTAATATGCAGCAACACTGATTATGGAGATAAAGAAATGGTTAGGCCTGGGAGCTATGATTCAAGGATTGAGTGCTTTCAAGTTAGTAAGAATTTGGAAGTCTAGATTAGTGAAAAGAAGAGTAGTATTTGCCCTTGTAAGTGCAGCATTGTATCATGTGTGGTGTGAAAGGAATTCCAGGAAGTTTGGAGGCAAGCAAAAGCAAGTGATGGACAGGTTTGAAATGCTGAAAAATGTGATCAAATGTAAATTGCAACACAAATTTAGAAATGGTAGTGGGGATGACATTAGCTTTGTAGAGGGTTTGGGAGTTCGATTGGCAACTTTTGATTTAAATTTGTATGTGTTTGAGTTCATAGATCAATGAAAGATTTACCTTTTACCAAAAAAAAAAAATGATTAGAAGACCAATACATCCACCCTGCCAATTTTAAATTTTACATCAAGTACTAGTCGCGCATCTGTCCTAAACACCTGCATTTGTGCAATAATTCGATACATTAAGCGGGAATACATAGCACATTGAAAATTCGACAAACTTTTATGGCTAAGATTGCGAAACACGAATTGAGGTGCTTTCTTACATGTACACTCCGTCAATCAGGGTTTGATTCACACTCATATTAGGCCATTCGTTGCAACAAGGAATAAACATATGCCTCAGATTATTTGACATATTATTAATGGAGTAATGATATTTCTCTCCATAAATTTAACTCTACTGACAATCTAATTGACACATTCACATTATCTTATATATTTATAATATTATTTAATTAAATAATAGAACATTCAAACAAATAAATTTATTGTTTCCATCCTCACCTGGAAATAGGGAGTTTCTCTTCCCTCCTCTACAATGTCAAATACATTCTTCCCTCGAAAATTCACAGTTCCAAATCCATGATAATGCCACCAATTTAAGGGTTCTGTGACTAAATCATGCCCCAAAGTTTCTTGGATTTGTTTTTGGAGTCCCGAAATATTTCTTTCTCCTATTTATTTTTTTGATGAAATTTCAATCATAAAACATGTATGCAGTAAATGAGTTTATGGGTCCTATTGTCAGGTGTGTATATTCTTTTTTTTTTTTCGTCCTCTTTGGCTAGCATGGCACGTGAGAAGTTAATTCGTTTTCTATTTGCAATTAGAGAATCAAATATGGTTTTAGCAAAAAAAAGAAGAAAAAAATTGATATTGTTTAGATTTCAGAGAAAGGATTAGTATTTTTATGGAAGAACACATATAGAAACTTCCACATATGCTTTATATTCTATTAACTTCTGCTTTGAACTTAAAAATAAGTGAAAGACACTTATCCCACATTAAAAATAGTAATCTAATTGGCTTCTGTGATGAGCATAGGCTTTGAGATCATTACGGTCAAGTCTCAGCCGGCGGGGTGATTCGCGATTATTACAGTCGTTGGTGCTCAGGTTTTGTGATGAACATAGGCTTCTGTTCTATAACGGGGGCAGAGTTGTGGGAACTTTTTCAAGGGCTAAATCTGGCTTGGGAGAGTGGATATAGATGGTTGGAAGCAGAGGTGGATAGCCTAAGTGTTCTTCAAATGGTACTCCAAGAAGACATCCCTCAGTGCACGCACCAGGGTTTGTTAAGAGCAATCAAGGATCTTCTAGATAGAGATTGGGTAGTAGAGGTAAACCACGTTTACCGGGAATGTAATTTTGTGGCCGACTATTTGACTTCTTTGGCGGGATCGAATCCAAGAGGCTTTACCCGACTGGATTCGTCACCAACAGGGACTCATTGGTGGCTTAACCATGATATACTAGGGACATCGTACCCTAGGTATATTGCAGTGTAATCTGGATTGTTAATATCCCTTGTGAATCAAAAAAAAAAAAAGAAATAGTAATCTAATTTGACGAACATATACACTTCATGTACGTACTACTCACCTCATTACCCATTGGTTTTGAGATAAAACTATATGTGGACTAGTATGGGTCTTCAAGATATTTAAAGGCTCAATCTAATGTTGTCTATCTGAATTACAGCTGCCCCTCGATCTGGATTTGATACGACTTAGATATGCGTAGTTGACGGATCGAGATGAACTCTCCGTATTAGAGAAGAGGATGTGTTTATGAAAGGTTAAAAAAAATAAAGCCAATTATAATCGGTTTTTTTTTTAATTTTTAATTAAATCATATTATAAATACATTAGATGATGTACTAACGTGAATGTTTATGAAAGGTTATTAGTAGAGTTAAATTCATACAGAAGAATATCATTCCTCTTATTAATATGTAGCCATATACTTAATATGTAGCCATATACTGTATTGTACTGCCAAAATGAAGACTATCTAGATGGCTTTTTAACGGTAACTTGATATTACACAAAGAAAGGAAAAAAAGAAAAAAAATCATCGTAGAATATGTAATTTTGACCCGCAATTAGTGACTCGGTGATTCTTTATAACTCAGTCAATGTACTATGTTTGAATTGAGTTAAACAGATCATTGGATTAAGAAAAATTCCTCATAACATATAATAGTATAATTTACAGGTTTAACTGCTACAATTGCATGCGGGGAAGGTTTCAAAATGACGGGAAGCTACTTCATAAACTCTTTTTATATAATATATAATACCATTTCTTCTTACCTAAACCACACAACATGACCAAAAATATTACCTGAACTTTTGAAAGTTCTTCACTAAGAGTAACTTTAGTTTGAAGCCTTCGAAGGAGTATACGGACTATTTCGTCCATGCAAATATTACACGGCGGTTTTGATGAACTTGATCAAAGGTCCCTTCCCTATATATAGCCACTGATTCATCACAATTTTCATTCATCCCATCCAAAACATCATTAATCATTACTTACTCTAAAACCCTTTTCAATCAATCATCACTTTTCGATCATTATGGCAAATTCTGCTTTACTCCTTTTATGCCTTGTAGCCCTTACATTCTCTTCCATTTCGTACGCCTCCGATCCCAAAGCCCTTCAAGATTTCTGCGTGGCCGATAAAGCTAGCCAAGTCAATGTCAATGGCTTTACATGCAAGAATCCCAAAGACATCACCGCCGACGATTTCGTCTTCCACGGCTTAGACAAGGCCGGAAACACCACCAATCCACAAGGCTCCAACGTGACCCAGGTGTTCGTGGCCCAATTCCCAGGGCTCAACACCTTCGGCATTTCCATGGCCCGCATTGACTACGCTCCCTGGGGACAAAACCCGCCTCACATTCACCCCAGAGCCACCGAAATCCTGGTCGTTCTGGAAGGAACTTTGGAGGTTGGTTTCGTCACCTCCGCACCGGATTTCAAACTGTTCAGGAAAGTGCTATACAAAGGCGATGTTTTCATCTTCCCGATTGGACTCATCCACTTCCAGCGGAACATTGGGTATGGCAACGCCGTGGCTTTGGCTGGATTGAGCAGTCAAGCCCCAGGTGTGGTCCCAATTGCACCTTCTGTTTTCGGATCAAATCCGCCCATCAGGGATGATGTGCTGGCCAAGGCATTCCAGGTTGATAAGAAAATAGTTGATCTAATTCAGGCCAACTTCTGAAACAGTAGAAATTAAACATCAGTAATTGATGATATCATTTGGTTTGTTACTAAATTGTGGGCCGGAATAAGTGGGAAGTAATTGAGTTTGTATTAGTTTAGTTTTGCAGGCAGCAACTTATTTCTATTTATTACCTGAAAAATTGTGAGTGGAAATAAATATAAAAATTTGTTATGATCGATTATAAATTAATTTTTCTATTTTTGTGTTATGTTAATATGAAATCCTTCCCGCATTATTTTTACTGAATAGCTCAGTGTCCATACCGTTACAAGAGATGCTTGAAACAAACAAACGAAAACAAGCACTAAATAATAGTCATATAACGACAAAATATGTTACGTGATTTATGAATTATGAACAACAGGATGAAAGCACTGTTTGGAAAAGAAGGGCAGGCACATCATTGATTATGTTATCTTAGTTTTGTGTTTGTCTAAAACGTTTTTTGGAGGATTAATGCTAAGATATTATTTTTAGAAAAAAAGAAATTATACGTACGTATCATTCATTTTGCATGTCGCTATAATTTGTTATGTGCACATTAGGGAAACAATGTTAATCGAGTTCATATATTAAAATTTGTTATAACGTCAAAAGATTTATTTCTTAAGGGTTGATACTTGATATATTTACTTCCCTGACTATAAGAACTCCTCCATGCACGTTGGGAAAGCATATCAAAAGGTTATCTTGTTCGAGTAATTGATGGAGAAATTCGAAAATTTAACGAAATGTTCGATGGAGCTGCACATAGATCCGAAAAGCAAATGAAAACACATTCTGTAATTACTAATTGAGAGTTTCGGTTAACACTTTTTGTTTTTTTGTTTTTTTTTTTTTGAAAAAAAAAAATCCAACATCGCGTCATTTCATAGAGTCCATGAGTCCATGTACTAAACAAACTCCAGTTCAAAGTTTAGGCAGGAGGAACGGCAAAATATAAACACACAAGTGAAATCACGAAATCTCTCACGAGATATACAGTTATTATCATTTTACGTTACAATCCTGGAAATTTCCATGGATTACTCTAATTGAGACAGAATTGCAACAACATTTATATAAAACCTCCTTAAGATCTCGAAATCAATATTGAAAGTCCCTGTTACCGGGAAATCCTTCACACCTTGTATTAACTCGGTACATTTCCGGTGATAATCGCGGGCTTCTCCGGCAACATTTGTAGCATCTCGAAAACGCTTACCATCCAAATGACGCTGTGCTGCGTCTAGACTCTGGACAGCTTTTTTCATAAAAGCTTTGCATGTAAGGCACACATCTCTAACCTGTACATCAATGCTGCCCTCGGCGATGTCGTCGAGATCCAAATCAACGCGGAAAGTTTTTTTTATGGAGCATTCCGTTGATGCTCGACCAACCTCGATTGGGTCCATCAAGTCGTGTTTTGGCTCTTCTCGCATGCATAGCTTGCAGAAGTCGGGATGAGGTGTGTCCTTACATACTTCTTTAATTAGGGCTTCATCGCGGCCACACACATCAGGACATTTTGTTGCCAGGAGGAAGGCAATTATGGCTAAGATCACACTAAGTCTTGACATGGTGCTTCTATCTAGCTATTGTACCAAAGGGATGCTAAGATTTAGAGATGGGTATTTTGTAAAGGTTGATTGGGGTGTTTTTATATGCATCATAACCGTAATTCTAGTGAGTTTATAATGATTCAGAGAATGTATATTTAATTTACACGCCATTAACTGAGGATGCGATAAATGGCTATTTAGATCCTTCTAAACATTGGGGAGGGGGTGGAATTTTACATGACTCAAACAAGATGTTGAAATGACCTCAACAGGTAGTACATTCCGTGATACAATTTAAAAACTACTGTATCAAATTCTGTTGATTTTATTGAATCGGAAACGGTAAGCATTGAGTGTACACTTCATGGATCGGTCCACTACAAATTTGTCACTAGCTTAGTAATTAGTAGATGGATGATAACTGCAAACTAGGTAGTAACCATCGATAAAATTTGGATACATGTGGTTATTATAGAAATTGTTCTAGCAACTTACGGCACGTCTAAAGTTAGTTTGATTACCAACGTAGAAAACACACAAAAGAAAAGGATGAATTTACGCAGTTAAAGCGGGCGTATTTTTATATTTTTATTTCTCGAGTGAAATCCTGGAACAAATACGGTAAACTTAAGAATTCTAATAAACATATTAATTTTGCATGGTACGTCCAAGTGATTTTGACAGTAGAAAGAAAAGGACAAAACAATGTAAAACTTGAAATTGTTCAAAATTTCAAATAATAACAGATCGACTGAAGCAATCGCTCGAGTGCGAATATTGCGTCCTTATAGGTGCCTTCACTGTAAATTGTTGCATAGAAACATATCATGTTCATCGAGAGATAATTTTGTGGAGGACTTGGCGATATTGGTAATTTCGCCTCTCTTAGGCTATGAAAAACTCATACCATGGTCGATTGGAATAATTATGTTTGTGACAAAACATCAGATAGCGAGTGTCACTTATCCAGGTGATATAGTACTAGCAAGCTATCTAAATTAATTTCTAAGGTTAACCTACTTTTGTTCCGAAAAAGACAAAATATAGGTGGAAGTAGTACAAATTAATACGTATCTAATACGGATGTATGGTATCACAATATATGGAAATGTTCCGATAATATTGTTAGGGTATTTTATTCTTGCAATATGATGTTTTAAGTTTTGTTTCCATTAGGGGTAGTAAAAAAGGCGAGGTGGATGGAGCAGAAAAGGTAGTAACCTACATCGTACTCTCCCGTTGATTTTTAACCACTACTGAATAAAACATGACTTGGGGAATCATAAGAACACTTATAATATTATTCGCCAAAACTAAGAAGCAACGAAGCAATATCATCAAAATGAAATTACACGGAAAGCGGTCTAATTAATCATGAACAAAAAGTTCCTCTAATTATTCCAAAAAAGGATTAATTAAAGCACAGGAAATTGTAACTTTAATTCAGTTTGTACTATAAATAGTTGAGTATACGAGATCACAAAACTCAACAAAAGCTAGAAATTACATTATAGAAGGGACAACATTGCTTCTGAATTTACTAATAAAATCTCCAAAGTATCCAACGCTTCAATATAAGGATTTGGTGATGGTAATCCCACAATTATATTGGCACATTGTAGAAAATAACTATGAGCTATTCCAACCGAATCTGTAGCATTTTGAAAAAGATCATAACCCCAAAACACCAATGCATCTCGCAGATTCTTCAATGAATCATCGAAATGAACAGTGCATTTCGTGCATATGTCTCTAATTGAACCATCACGACTACTGTTAGCCATGTTGTAGATATCGCGATTAATAGTGAGAATTCTTCCGATACAACACACCATGGATGCCCGGCCGAGGCCGGGTTCATCCTCGTTCTCGTGTTCAGGATCTTCCTTAATGCACATTTGGCAGGCGGTCGGGTCAGGCATTCTGGCACAAACTCGGTCAATTAGGGCTTGATCTCCACTCGCATTTTGAAGGCGATTTGCAGCCATGAGGCTGAAAAATATTGCTACAAGACTGAGCTTCAAAAGCATATTGATGGGAAGTATCGCTTTGTGATGGCTTAATTCTGTATTAAGTCAATGTTTGTTCTTGGTATTTATATACTCTCTTTTTCCTAAAATTAATGTCCAGTTTAATATTTCAGTTTTAGTACAATTTGAACTAAAAATGAAAGTCCAAACTGGATAATAATTTTGAGACAGAGAGAGTACATCTTACAAAAGATTTATCTACGATCTAGTCTGATCGCGTACTTTCATATTTTATCTTTGTGTGCACACTTGGTTAATTAATCAAGAACAAATTGGACTCTTGCTAGCTGGATGAATATTTTTTACAAACTCACTACTTAATTAGCACCAGTCCAAAATTGGACATACGTAGTCATTATGGAAATATTACACCTAGATCAACTTAGGGGACGTGTATAGCATAAGTTGAAAACGATGGCTCTAATTGAAATAGACAAACAAAATTTTGAACAAAGATAAAAGGGTAAAATGGAAAAACAAGATATACGTCCGATTTGACATCTTTAAGTGTAACAAATTAAAAACGATATAGTTACAAGGAGAAAAAATTTCTTACAACAGAAACAGATTATAACAAATTATATAATACCATTTCTCCTCTGCCGCCAACTTCAAATCACAATCATCACCACCATCATCATCAAAATGGACAAATGGGTACGGTTTCATTTTTTGGAAAGTGACTAAAGCTGAAGCTCAAGCTCCGTTTGATAATTATTGAACTCTGAATCTGAACACTTAACACTTAATACTTAACACTGAAGTCTAAAGTCTGTAGACTGAATTTACATTGTTTGATAAAAACGTCTGAATTTGATGTCTGAAGACTGAAGTCTGAAAACTGAATCTGAATACTCAGGTCTGAAAGTTATTTAAATTTTTAATATCATTAAAATTGAATTTTAAACCAAATTCTTTTAAATAGAAAAATAACTAATATTTTGTTTTAAATAATAAAATAATAATTTTAAAATAAATTTTTGGTATATATAATGAAACTAGATATTACACTTGGTAAAGTATCAATATATAATTAAATTCAGATTATTTATATATAACGATATATATATATATATACGTATACCTTGTTATTTAGTAAATTTTATGTATTAAAATTAGTTTGATTTGAGTTTGAAAGTTTGAGATATTTTATACTCACAATATAAATTCTACTTTAAGCACTCTTAATTCATTTGTCTTAAGAAAATAAAAATTTAAAAACAATGTAAAAATAAGCGTCGAAATAAAAATGAGGAAAAAAAATAAAAAATTATTACACAAATTAAGTGATAAGTGGTAGACCTATCACTTATTTTCTGGCTCACGAATGAACTGGTCATTCAGACGCACTTAATTAATTCAGAAATTGAAATTTTAGTTATCAAACGAATATAATTTGTAAGTACTTAATTAGTTCAGAACTTAATTCATTAAGAGTACTTTTTAGTATCGATTATCACACATACTTAATTGATTTCATTAAATACTTAAATAAATTAAGTCACTATATTAAGTGATTATCAAACAGAGCCTCAATGTGTCATGTTATGTCTTTGCTAAAATTCCATGCATTAGTAACTTTTTTTCTTTTTTCTTTTTTTTTAAAAAAATCTCATTTGCGTTTAAAAATTGAATTGATGTGTATGAAATAGAGGCTAAATTTTGATGGAAAAAATGACTTTATATATTTCCAGTTGCTATTGTATTAAAATTTTTAAATGGTACGTACGTGTATTCTGAACTTTCTACATGTTGTGGATCAACAAAATAGATTTAATTTTGCACGTGAAAATATTTTCTTTTTTATTTATGACTGGTTTGGACTACTTTGATGTTTCTGAAGTTGTGATCACTCTTTGAAAAACTAAATAATAGAATTCTATTCTTTGATTTCGGCTCCTTACTAACAAATTATATTTTTCAAAATTTGAAAACTTTGTTGCTCTTTGTGATTTTCTAATAAAAAACACATTAGGGCCAAGGTTTCCGTACGAAAGAGAAGTAAAAATCGTACAAAGATAAAGCCGTCTTATTAAACGGCTAATTTATATACCAGCCAAACGGTAACGAAATCAAAATTACATTCTGTTCTGAAATGAAACAGAAACTTATTTATTACACAATGAAAATACAAATTGGTCACTCAAAGTGTGACTACGAACAAACTAGTAAAAAATTTCGGGCATTCTGTCGAACACATGTAAGGCCATGACCACTTGGGTCATTTGGCCAGATGAAGCAACGATTCCTATTACGGATGGGACAATGAACTTTCCTTTCAAGGGAGATTTTTCAAACGGCGGCCATGTTGAAAGCGGAGAGTGAAAGAATCTAATCCGTTCTTTAAACCCACCATTATTGCTTCTCCTCATCTCTCAGGTTCAATATGTTCTAGAATGTGAGGATGAATCCAACTTTGTCAGAAGTTATTGACCCAGATGAGCAGCTCACTTCTTCTTTCTCCCTCAAAACAGACTAAAGAAACCAAACAATTAAATCCGGGAAACGGATAAACTGAATAATGGACTCAATATCTATTCATGTGCGTACGAAATGACTTATTCATTTTGTTTGGTTGCGGCATTCCATATAGTTATTTTAACTTTCAAGAATGCTATCTATAATAAAAAATTCTCTGTTATATTTGTAGAGTGTTTACCGTCAATAATGCCTAATATCCCAGTTGAATTGCAGGTAACGCAGTTTTTGATTTGCACCAATGAATGATATATACATATGTAATCATTATAGAAATTTATAGATACGGAACTTCTAAAGTAAAATAGTTACCTTTATAACCAATATGCTTACAACTTCCTTACGACATCAATGCCAGCTTGTCAAGAATACAAATTTGAGCTTCTCCTTGACGATTAATAATCCAACTCTTATATCTTATAACTCACTATTAGAGTAGTAGTTATCTAGGGTTGTTACTTATCATTATCACATATGTAGATATTATTCATTGATAGTTATCTCTAGTTCACTACTTGTATTATATATAGACTAGTACTCAATGTATTCATCATCCATGAGATTTTACAGTATTCAATCTCTTTAACCTGGTATCGAGCTTTTTTCGATCCTTCTTCTCCTTCCGCTATGTCTGCCGCTGCCCTCTCCTCTGGTTCTTCTTCGGTCATGTCTTCTTCTACTTTTTCCTGCACTCAATCAACCAGCGCCCCTCTCTTTTCTTTCTCGCCCAATCTCTCTTCCTTTAATCAATCTTTTTCCATTAAGCTTCAATCCCGTGAAAGCTTGGAAACTTCAGTTTACTCCTCTCCTCAACATGTTGAACTTGTCTTCCATTGTTGATGGTTCTGAACCCTCCCCTCCTCCCACCAATCCTACTCTAATACTCACGATTTTACAGCTCTATCAATGTCGCTCATCAATTAAGTTTGCTTTGGTTGTAACTTTTTATCATTTTCATGTGGATCGTTTTGCTCCGGTTTGTTGTCGTGTCACGCCAAATACTAGCTTCCCAATTTTTAAAGGACTTTATGATGTCTTGTGTCTGGTATTCACTTTATGATTCGGGTCTTTCCGGAAGCATAGTTGGCAGAAGGGGGGTTGGGGTGATTTTTTTCCATCAATTAAGGCTTGATCTCCAGTCATGGAGGCATTTTGTGGCAGTGAGGAATCAAGATAAGCCTCACATTACGCTAAATCTCAACATATGGTATTTCTGCTAGCTTGTACTAAGGGGATGTATTATGAATCAGTGGAACGACATTTATGGGTAATTAATCTTTTACCTTTCACGCGTTGCGCGACCAGTGTTTTTATCGAATCATATCATTTGATACCATTCTCGTTATTAAAAGTGATATTAAAAGTGATAAGTTACTGTGATTTTAAATTAAATAGAATGTTCAGAAAATCTTAAAATGTTTGACTAAGGAAATGCATACATATGTGAAACTTTTTACCTAATGGACTTCCAAAAAGGAAAAATGAAATCATTCGATTACAAATGAAATAGATCATTGTGTGATTAAAAATCCAATGGAATAGACACATCATGTTTGAAAACTCTTCCATTGGGCAAACATGATAAAATTAAAATTGTGTACATGGACATTCTATTTATAATTTGTGATATTAATTTTAATTTTCGTAAAAGCTTGTTTTAAATTTTGAGTTTGGTGTTCTAAAAATGATCAAAACCAAATACTATGATTTTTGTTTTGTTTTGGGTTATAATTTTGATTTTGGTGTCGTTGATATTTTATTCTATATTTATTTGTACTTTATCATGTGATATAACAAATGAATGATCGTGTAACTAACAATTTAATACTTGACAATTGTGAAACAAAATCAAAATAATTTTGTGATTATGTAGTCTATATTATACATATTTTGATTTATATTTGTACCAAAATAATTAGCTAGGGCGAAGTAGTTCCCTCAACCTTGATTGATTTAGACTCAGCAAATGTCTTTGCATCAGCGCATTGACATCAATTTCATTTCTCTTCTCTGCAGCAGGAGTCCTCTTCATTTTTTTTAATTCCTCCGACACCACTATTTTAACTCTATCGATGGAGTTTAGTAGTTTCTTCTGTGGTGTGAAACCTGATATCAAACAATATCTTGGGCATTGATATGGAAAGACTCTGGCTACAGCCTTTTTTACACATGAAATATATATCCCAAACAAATAGTCTATTTATATCTAATGCTGATTTCGCTAGCGTATCCGCACAGAGGTTGGGAGCTCGAGAAGTGTGTTCGAAGTAAAATTCTTAATTGAAAGACAAAAGTTCATGGATGTGCCTAAGGTCTAGATCCAGGGAAACTATTGAGCTTTGTTTCACTTTTTCGAAGTGGCTCTATAGCCACACTCGAATCGGATTCCACCAGCAACCGTAGGAATCACTGATTTTTAGAGTTTTCATAGGCTACCGAATGGCCCTGATTTCTGCAGTTTCAATTGAACATGTCCCTAATGGCATACAAGCAACACTCAAAAATCTTTCTTGGTCATTTTTCATGATAACTCCTGCAGTTGCCTT